ATTTGCCGTAAGCTGGTGCTATAGTGATAGAGAACACAAAGTGACTGTCATCGGGAGTTCGCAATGACAACGACTCGTTGGTTATCTAAATCATTAAAGTTTTAACATATACTTTTAGCAAAACGTTAAATGGTTAGCCTTTATATTGGAGAATATTATATTTCTTGGCCTTTGGAAAAGTCAAAATTGCTCGATGAGGAAATAAGATATCGCAAAAAAATGAGGTCAGGGAGTGAGGATGAAAAAGGGTGAGCGAAAAAGGAGCATCGCGTTTTAGATTCAACGAAAGCGCAAAATTTAGCCTGGAACTGCTGACTGTTCTGCAAGCAAAACGGCAAATTTAACAGCAAATGCTAAATATGAAAATCGCCCAGTTAAAACTAAATTAAAGAATGGATAACCCTCAGACAGGTCTTCTCCTCCAGAAGCGCCTGAAAGCACTTCGCTGTCGTCCAAAATCATCAGTTTTGCTCTGATAAGCACTATGTGTCACCTTTTGGATGCCGCCTTCGTTAACAACAACGGTTCGGTTGATGAGCTGTATGGAGCCGTGTCCTGGGATAAACGTTATTTCGAATCGTATTTCTTCTGATGTAACTGCTGGCGCTACCAGCCGAAAGGTGAAAAAATCGTTAATAACGGAGTACTGTACGAAATGCATCTTGTAACTAATCTCGCCATCGTCAATGTGCTGAAATTAATGGGCAGTACAGCAGTTTTCAAGCAAATTTATTGTACATGTACGATAGCCGTATCGTTGTTTGACCAATACGAATGTTAGGATATCTGCCAGACAGGCTCTCACTAAAAAATAGCACAATTGTATATTATTCTTAGCCCTTAACCCATTCCCTCATTTCTGCCTTTTTGTTTAATTACATTTAAAACTAAAGTTCAAGAATGAAAGGGAAAAATGCTGTCGGGGGGAAGAAATGAAAGAAAATTGACGAAATTTGAAGCTTAGAAAGTTAAAAAACTTGAAAGGAATATTTTGATCCATAAAATTGTACACATTTTTAATCATGTCATAACAGGATCTGGTCAGTATGATGGTTGTGGTAAGCAGTAATTTGCTTTTAATGAAATTATTAAAACCTTTATTTAATTCGAATTGAAGCTGGAGGTAAGCAAAATGATACAAATTTAAAACGGAAGTAAATTTTGAGCTACTTTATCAAATTCAACTACTTATTATTAAGATTACTATCTTCGGCTGTATCTTTCAAATTTCACTGCCCATCCGGTCCCTTTCTCTTGGCTGTTTTAGCCAAGCGATTTCTCGTCTACTTGCTACGTTTTGATTGCATCGAGTAACTTATAGGAAATGCTAAAATATTCACTGCAGAACAAAGCGCACCTTCTGAGTGAAGTTTGAGGAAACGCCAATTCGCCGATTGCGATTTCGCCCAAGACGACGCAGCAAAGTGCCGAACTTTGGTGGTTCGATGATGTGATAAACTAGCTCACTGGAGGGAAAATTTTTCGGAAATGTCCAGGCAAACAGGTTGGCCCGTTTTAGCGTCAAACTATCCGTATTGTTGAGCAGGAACGGGACCCGATTGAATATTTTGACATGGACCGGAATGAACAAGATTCGGAAAACATGCACCATCGATGTAGTATTGTCGGCGCGAATCTGAATACAGTATCATCATGAAAAAAAACTGAGAAGGGGCAGTACAAAATGTAGATGAGGAGGAAAAAGGGAAGTGAAAAGAGGTGGAGAATAAGGTGGAGGCAAGGGAGGGATGGGAGAAGAGGGATTCGTGGAGTTCGAAGAAATGAGTGCCCTGCAGATGTGCTGATTTTAGGGAAAATTAGATGCCTTCGACCGTTTCAGATTTTTGATTCTTGCTTTTTCCAGGTTTTGTTTAATACTTCAGCGTCAAGAGATATATACATCATTTGTTCAATGACCATTCCTCAAGCTTTATCAAATTTGTAGATAAATGGTTTCCTAGAAAATACGTGTATTCGGTAGCAAATGCCAGCAGCAGTCAGTTGTTGACAGGGCTGTCGATGGCTCCTTTTTCCGACGTACTGCTTACAAGCAAGCTGATGGCAGGGAAAACATGTGTCTTGAAAAAAAGCAGGAAGAGCAAAAAACATCCCCTAATGCTAACTGTTTTCATTTATGCGGCTTTTTCTATCCCAACTGC